TGCTTAAATAAAACAATCGAAAACAAATTTGTTTTTATTTAATTCGTAGCCTAAATTCAACAAGAGGTACTGTACAGTCTTTCCCTACGGTGACGCATTGCTGCCGCACACATATTATTTTTTCCACTCAATTATGTCGTTTTAATGACATCTTTTCTCGTAATAACGAGATATTTTCTCGTTAAAACGACATCTTTTCTCGTTAAAACGACATCTTTTCTCGTAATAACGATTTTCAACAATCTTTTTTTCTGCAAGAAACAAAAAAAAGTCTACTCTTAAAAATAAATAGTTTTACAATATAAAAGAAATATACAATATTATACACGTTTTACAATATAAAAGAAATCATGCAATGCACACACATCAATTTAGTAACCACTGTACAAGTACACACAACCTGCCTTAGTGGGAAGGGTGAGACTGTCTTTCTTTGCAGAGCTTATCAATTCTAGGTGTTATTGGGGACAGGCAAACTCTCAAGTCATCTTCCACATTAAGCCGTGCCCTGTATTTTGTCTTTATTGCCATCATGGCTGAGAAAGATGTCTCACAAAGATATGTTGTTGGGAAAGGCAGCAATATTTTCATGGCCTGAAGAGCAACCTCCTTGTACTCCTTTTCAACCGTGGGCCAAAATTCTGCTGGGCCCTGCATATTAAATCTCATCCTGAGAGTGCGATCACTGGATAATTCCAAAAGTTCATCTTCGGCCTTTCCACTGAGGCCACTGGCCATCAATTGACAAGAAAAGGGATCTCAAACCCAGTCATATTTCTCCATGTCAATGTCTGTGAAGTAGTGACTGAAATGTTCATTCAGTGAGGTGAGGTGACTGGTAATGGTGTTGAGCATGAAGTCCACTCCCATGCAGTTTGTATCCAAAAATTCAGATAGATTTGGAAACATGTCAGTGATGCCTCTTTGTAGTTTATGTACCCACAGGTCCATTTTTCTCCTGAATGCATTTATTTTGTCACTTGCCTCCAATATTGTGGAATAACATCCCTGAATGGACAGATTCAGTCCATTGAGACTACTGAAAATGTCTGCAAGGTAGGCCAGTTTTGCCATCCACTGTTGATCAGAAAAAAACAGTTTTAGATCAGGGTTATGTTCTTTCAAAAATTCATGAAGCTCACGTCTCAATTCGAACACTCGCTCTAAAACCTTTCCACGTGAGAGTCACCGCACCTCTGAATGGAAGAGTAGCCGATCATGAGCTGCCCCCATCTCTGTGCATAGTTTTGCAAAGAGACGTGACTTCAGCGGTCTTGACTTCACGAAGTTGACAGCCGCTACTACTTCTTCCAAAACATCATGCAGGTCGGGTGCCATTGACTTCGATGCAAGTGCTTGACGATGAAGCATACAGTGAGTGGCTGCGATCTTTGGATTTATGGCTTGAATTCACGTGACAACTCCACTCCTGTGCCCAGTCATTGCTGCCGCACCATCAGTGCAAACAGACACACATTTTCCCAACTCAGATGTTCTTCTACCATGAAAGTGTCCAACATTTTGAAAATTTCCTCACCTGTAGCTCTCCCCTCGAGTTCTTTTGAAAATAAAAAATCTTCCATAATTTTACTGTCCCATAAATATCGAACGTACACTAACACCTGTGCAGCGCTGCTAACGTCAGTGCATTCATCAAGCTGAAGCACAAACTGTTCACACAATCGTAATCTTTCGGTCAGTTGAGATTTCACATCAAAAGAGATGTCTTTGATACGACTGCTTACTGTATCGTTGGACAGTGGTATGGATTTAATCTTGTTCGCGGCTTCCTCCCCGACCATCACTCTGCACATATCCACTGCTGCTAGAAGTATTAATTCCTGCTCGATCGTGTGAGGCTTTTTTACATTTGGCTATTCGCAGGGCTGCCAGATACGATGCTTGCTGTGCTTTCTCAGGTATTGTCGAGATGTTAGTCAGTCGTACCTTTTGCTTGATGTATTCTTTCTTTATTTTTCTGGAAAAAATCCTTACTTTTATTCGTATGCTCCGGATGAATTGTTGTGAGATGTCTGTTGAGTTTATATGGTTTCAGCGCTTCAATGGATAAAATCTTCAAGCACAACGTGCACTGTGGTCTACCGTCACTATATAACATAAAGCCATATTTTATGTACGAGTCGTCAAATTTACGCAGTTTCGTTTTTTTCACGCTAGGCTCTTCTGTATTAACCTTCTCAACTGAGACACTGCATCCTCTATCTAAAAACATCCATTTTAAAGAGTCTTGGCATTTATCAGCGTGTTCATGGCTAACCGTTCTGTGCACTAGTACATCAACGGAGTGTTTCCGTAGTGTGCTGCGTATAATTGATATTATTTTTAAATATTTATATATTTTAAATACATCATAGTTTACATAGATTGACAATCCTGATTTACATACAGGTAAAATAATTTTTTATAATAATTTCCTAATCTAGATTCTAGAATTTCTATGCGGCCCCCCTAGCGCCATCTGGTGGCCCCCAGTTTGAGAACCACTAGCGGAAAGCAGGTGACACGAAGCCATCACTCATGATCAAAATACGATTACGTGAGGAAAGAACTATTGCAGACTTTAAACTCTAATAAAAAAAATAAACTGCAGGATTACATGGAGAATTTTTATTTTCTTGCTCAAAACCAATAGATCTTTTTATTGGAATAAATTTAGTGCCCCATTTATGGGCACGGGATTAAATGAAAAACGGCTTCACTTTATGGCCTAACATTATTATATATATTTTTAAAGCAGAATACCACCTACTGGTCAGCAATGAAACTACAGTTTAAGTTAACAAACAATTTCCTTTTTTATATCTCCCCCTTCAGCTACTGATTGAGATCATTGATGCCTCCTCAGTCATCACTTGGGACTTTGATGTATGTAAAGGTGATGTGATCTTCAATATCTATCACTCTAAACGGGCTCCACAGCCGCCTAGGAAAGATCCGCTGGCTACCCATGGCATCACCTCTCCTGCAGGCAACAACGTGCAGCTTATTGATAAATCTTGGCTGCTGGGACAGGACTACAGCATGGTAGAGTCACCCCTCACCTGCAAAGAGGGAGAAAGTGTACAGGTAGGCCTATGTCAGTTACAAGCAGCATCCAGTTTTATGCTGATTGAGTTGTCATAGTAAAGGTTCGTAGTGGTCATACCATACTTTGCTTCTGTACCTTTAAGACTATGTAAATGCCCTCTTTGCGTGTGAGAGAGAGAGTTAAGAGTTGTCTTGAAAATTGCATTCCATCTTTTTTCCTTCCCTTGTTTTAATGACTCTGCCAACATATGTACACACCATTTAGGGTTCACATGTGACGCGATGGCCAGGATTCTATATTTTGCAATGGAAGTTCCACTCTATGCCAGCATGTGCCACTACAAACCTACCCCGGGTGGATGATGTTCTGGCTACTCTGCAGGTGTCCTCTCACAAGTGCAAAGTCATGTACTACACTGAGGTTCTGGGCTCAGAGGACTTTAGGTAAACATACTGAACAGTGCTGAATTGTGTGATATCTATTGTAATCATTTCATCACTGTCTAGTTATTGTCATTTTAAAGGGGTCATATGATGTTGCTAAAAAGAAAATTTTGTGTAT